CGAGAGAGAGAGAGAGAGAGAGAGAGAAGGGAAGAGAAGAGGATGAAGGAGTATTTAGTGGTGCCGTGTGTTATTGCCATAACAAATGTACCAGGCAACTGGCCATTGTGTTATCGAGTTAATGTTTTGTTAACTGGACGCCGCCAAGGTAAAACTGCCCTTGGCGCCCATTGTTGTGATATGACATGGGGAGAGTATATTATTTGCCAGGAAACGAGGCATAAAGTAGATACATTCATAATGTAAAGAAACATGTCGACTTTCTAAAGTCCTTCAGTCTGTTGGATGGACAACTGCCAAAGGGTAAACCAAATGAGTTTGTCTCGCGGTGGTTTTTTATCAATAAACTTGACCACACAACTTTAACTTGTGAAACCACAGTACACTTTCTGCGCTGCGAACCGAAACGCAGGTGTGATTTCAATTTCTAAATGGGGACGGGTTTTTAAAAAAATTATCGAATATCTCTGGCCGAATGCTTGGACAATGTATCCCTCTCAGCCCGAGTTGGCCCTGAGAAGGCGGGTCGAAGCAGCCTGCCTCCGAAGTGATCTAAATAGTGTCAATTGGGGTGTATAACATGGGTAGTTTCAATTACAAATACTGCTGCTTGTATGGCTCCTATCTGTCATGGTGAGGCTTTGCCTCTACATAGCGTACTACCAGCAAGATCCGAAGGCCTGGGAATAATACTATCAAAATGTCATTTTCCCGATTTGATCAGTGGGCAAAGTAATGCCAAAATCGATATTTCGGTACAGATAAATACTGGCAATATTAAAACCCACAGTCAGGCCCCAGCCAACACTTAGAGCTACTTGAATATCCAAAATTTCCTTCGTGGATCAATAGAGGTTATCATATTTTATCAAGTTCGACCCCTGTGTATTTTCTCTTTTTTGTGTGTGTTGTAAGGAAACACACTTCTACCTGAGCCTACAAAATCCAATGTTAGAACTTGTTTTGTCGATTGGCAATATTCAAAGCCACTTAAGAGCGTCCACCTTCATCATGTGTTGCCTCAAATAGTAAGGAAGTTGAAGAATCTTTTCATTTCATATCAGGTTTATACCATTGTACTTCAAAAATGGGTTTTAAAAAGTCAAAGGCAACCTTTGAATAACTAAACTGTAAATGCTTGGGCCATCACACAGTGTGGTTCAAAATCAATGGCTAGAATACAAAATGTCCGAGTAAACACGCGCGCGCGTGTTTGTGTGTGTGTGTGTGTGTGTGTGTGTGTGTGTGTGTTTGTGTCAATGTGTGTGTCAATGTGTGTGTGTGTGTGTGTGTTTGTGTCAATGTGTGTGTCAATGTGTGTGTGTGTGTGTGTGTGTTTGTGTCAATGTGTGTGTCA